AAAAGAAAGAAGAAAACAGAGAAGCCACATTTTGAAAGGTCAAATTGGGATTCTTTATTAAAAAGCCAGTGATGGGGGGCTGGGAATGTGGCTCAGTGGTAGAGTGCTTGCCTAGCATGCATGAAGCCCCAGGTTCGATTCCTCAGTACCACATACACAGAAAAAGCTGAAAGTGGCACTGTCATTCAAGTGCTAGCTTTGAGCAAAAGAAGCTCAGGGACAGTGCCCAGGCCCTGAGTTCAAGCCACAGGACTGGCAATAAATACACGCATACATACATACAAGGCCAGGGACTGCATGGTGGACTCCGGTCTCCAGTCTCAAAGACCAGCAGCCCAGAACAGAGCTAGCACATAATTTTTAAAGACAAAAATCACATGTTGGGGCAGAGACCAAGCCTTTACAGCCTTGGCAAAAGTGTAAAAAATAGAACAAAGCGAGCTAGGTGAAGATAATTAATCCTAATAAAGGTGTTATTTATAAGCAGAGCAGATGAGACAGGGATGCTTCACCCTAACAAAAGTGCTCCACGCAGGTATATCAAGCTATCCAGCAGAACAATAAGCGACCATCAGGACCCCAGTGATCTAGGGGAAACACTTCCTGGAGCTTCCTGGAGCCCTAAGAGGCAGGGCATATTTGCAATCCAAAGAGTGTCCTCTGTAACCTCTAGAGTCTGCAGAGTCCCATCTACCTTCAACGTCTATCAAGACGCCAAGATGGTGACCTTCACCTCAAGGATGAGGATCTGTTTGATGGCAGGATGCATTCTGACCTTGGAAAACATGCCCCCAAGCATGCAGAAGCTCAGAACGTAACACCAGGAGTAATTAAAGCAAAAATAAAACACCTATCTTTGCATAACTTTGAAGTCAGACCCCATGTCTTTACATATAAATACCCCTGACAGCCAAAGAGCTCTGTGTGTGTGTGTGTGTGTGTGTGTGTGTGTGTCTCCCTCTGAGAGCACTCCTACTCTGTTAGTGTGTGCTCCTGCCCTTCTGCTTGTCTGCTTTCTGTCTGCTAGTCTGCTTGCTTACTCAGTAAAGCTCCCCTAATAGTTCTTACCATCATGACTTGCCTAGAAATTCTTATTCTGTGATGGAAGTCAAGGACCCTAAATGAAGAGTCCCTACATTTAAAGGGAAATTTCATAAACCCTCACCTGTGTCAGGTAACAAACATTTCCCATGAGGCCACCAACTGAAAGAGAAAGAACACATTCCCTGTGTTCCCCGACCACACCAATGATGGATAAGTTTAGTAGATAATGTGTTTTCTGAGCAGTGATTACTACTTCAGAGCCACTTCAAACTTAGTTGGCATTCCATCCCATGAGCAAGCCTTATTTGTACTTAACAGGGTAAAATGACACAGCACTGTGGGCTGAAGGCTGTAATCCAAGCTACGCATGAAGCTGAGATCTGAGGATCCTGCTTCAGGGCCAGCCCACCCAGAAATGTCCTGGAGTCTCTAATCTCCAATGAACCACCAGGAAACCGAAAGTGGGGCTGTGGCTCAAGGTGGTAGAGAGCTAGCCTGGAGCTAAACAGCCTAGGGATAGAGCTCAGGCCCCGAGTTCAAGCCTTTCCACTGGCAAACAGGGGGAGGGGGGGAGGTAAAACACCTGATGTGAGAGTCCCATGTCATTAGGAAGGGCTGTCGCTACTCACATCTCTGAGGCGTCACCCAGGCAGCCCAAGCAGTAAGCAGGAAAAAGTGTAGCTGGAGAAGGCGGGTTCCTAGTTCGAAGCTCCAGGGAAGTGATGTTCTGGCTCCTCCCTAGCTAATCTCCACCCAACCAACAGCCGCTGCCCAGCACTCATTCGACCAGAGTCGCTGGGAGGCTTTTCCTTTAGAAGGCGGGGCCCGGGCTCTGAGGTGGCTGAGTGCTTTGTTAATCGCCCAGAGACTGATGCAAATTCCTTACTGATAAGAAAGCATTGTTGCTGGTGTGAACTAGCCTGGGGGCTTTAGAGCTTTCTAAAACTTTGCCTGTGTGGCAGGTCCTGATCTCCAAAACTGGGAAATCTGCTAATGGGTCTGACAGTTACACCTTTCCCAGGGAAATACTGCGAAGTTATGGATGTGAATTCTCTCCTAGGTGCTTAAGATCTTAGCTTGTTCCTGCCCCTCCTTCCTTCCCATTCTCCTCTCTTGTCACGGATATTACGTGCCTTTTCCACCATATCTTGAAGCCATTTTATTCATTCATCAGCATTGGCCAGTCCAGATCTGTGCTAGTACCTCCCCAAAATTAGTGGGTATAGATCTTAAAGGATTCAACCATAGCAGTTGGTTAAATTGTATTTCAATACAATTGACCTTGGATACCAAGGCATCTAACTCCTGGGGTGGGGTGGGGGTAGGTGGGGCTTTCCTTAAGGAAATTGAAGAGGCAGGGAGGCCTAGCCTCCAATATCCACCCATGAGCCAGGCCTAGTATTGTAATGCCTGGGGGGGGCGGAGGGGGGGGAGAATGCCTTGGGCGGAGCGGGGAGGGTGGGGTGGGGACCTCAGTCCCAGGATTGGACTCCTCCTCTGGAGCGGAAGTGGTCCTGAGCCCGGTGCAGCGTGCTGGGCCCTGTGGTGGGCGGCTGCCCCTCAGCTCCTTCTCTGAGCTGGGTGGGGAGTCCTGGCTCCCGGCAGAGCTCACTTATGGCTGGGTAGGGAAAGCCTGCGGTGTTCCTCGGGCCTCCTCCCAGCTCCTCTCAATTTCCATTTTCTCTGTGCTCTGCCCAGTCTTGGACAGACGTGTGACTCCTGGCTTCCGAGCGCCGCCGTGGGCACGGAGGCTGCTCTCCTCTTAGAACCTGGGGCCTGCCCAGTGGTGGAAAGAAAACGGGCACTGTCACTGATCCCAGGGAGGCTGTGCGCGCTGTGCGCGCTGCTTCCTTCAGAAGTAGCGTCTCTGCACTAGGGGCCTTACCTTGGATCACAGAAGAGTTTCTGGACACATCATAATGGTCAGAAAACTTGGCAGAGCTTTACTGTGTCAACAAGCAAGCACACATGCAGACTGACATGTGGCAGCCAGACAGGCAGAGGCACACTCGCACAGAATCTGGTCAGTCTCCAGGGAGAGACACTGAGCTGTTTGAAATCAGGGGCACTCACGTGATAAAGGCTGGGTCTGACTTAAGGTTAAACAAAGACAGGTGTTTCGGTTTGCTCTTCTTCACTGCTGCTGTGACACCTTTATTGCCTGGGCCCAGGGTCTCTAAGACTGACCTGTTCTTGAAATATTTGACTATTACGCCTAGACATCCCTTTTAGGGAAGAATGCACCCTGCCTTATATTGTAAAGCAGGTGTTTATCCTGGAGGGGGAACAATGTATCCTGCCACAGAAGTCTGAATTCACTGCCTGCAAGGAGGAGCTGCTTTCCCAAGTATTTGCTCTTGCAGGATACATGTCTATTTGGTATGTGTGTTTGGGGGTTTTGGTCCTGAACTCTGAGCCTGGGCACTTGTCCCTGAGATTCTTTTCCTCCAGGCTAGTTCTCTACCACTTGAGCCACAATGCCATTTCTGGCTTCTTCTAAATAGTTTATTGGAGATAAGAGTCTTAAAGACTTTACTACCTGGGAAGGCTTAGAAAGCTGATCTTCTAGCCGGGTGCTAGTGGCTCCCGCCTGTCATCCTAGCTACTCAGGAGGCTGAGATCTGAGGATCACAGATCCCGGAGAGGGTTGGGGGTGCAGGGATAAGCCTTCACATTTTGAGATTGCAGATTCCCATCAAATTGCGTGTACTATATTTAACATAGCACTTTCAAATTTTCAAGTACTGTATTGAGATTTTTTGATCCACTGTGAGTGGCTGAGATATGCACGCAGTCACACGTGTGTGTGATTGAAGCGGGACGTTGCTGCCGCCCACGTGGCACGCCCACGTGGCACGCACACACACATCCGGCACGGGGGTTCCCTGCGCCATTGGCTTTGAGGACAAGTGGCAAAACTCAGTTTCTCCCTGTTGCCCTGGTAAGCTATTTGAGAATTTTTCTGTGCCTCCGTGCATTAAATAACTCTTTTTTTTTTTTTTTTGGTCCAGTTGTGGGGCCTGAACTCTGGGCCTGGGCGCTGTCCCTCAGCTCTTCAGCTCAAGGCTAGCACTCTACCACT